TATAATCTAAGTAAATGGGAGCCAGCTGGGTTAAGGCAGCAATCCCTAATTAGTCTAGGATGGGGGTTGGGGAATCAAAGAATAAATATTCAGTCCTAGAGGCAGAATTATTCATGATGGAGGAATGAAGGAAAACTCATGAACTTGCCTGAATACACAGGAGTACGCATTCCAAGCAAGCAAGGAGACTGAAGGCGACAGCTTGACGAATGCCAGGAATGCTGCATGTGGCCTTGAAGAAGCTAAGAGCCGCGGCAAGAATCTTCCTGAGGTATAGTCCGGGTGCAGAGGCTGCTTAGGAGACCACAAGTGTCTGCAAGCAAGCAAGCTTTGGCTGTGCTAAGGAACCAGAGGGAGCCTCCAGGACAGTTGGCAAGCCCTGGGAGGTACGGCTCAAGCAGTGAGCAAACCCTGAAGCAAGTAGCCAAGCCAAAACGGAGGTGGAGTTCCAGGGAGAAAGGAACAACAAACCATTTGTTTAGAGTAGCTAGCATAGTTAGGGTAGGTTTTGTCTATTGTCTATTTTATTTGTCAACTCCCCCTATTTGTTTTAATCACTCCAAATAAGCCTTTATGTTTTATAAGCTGGGAGTCTGAATGAATCTCTGGGCAGTAGAGACTGTTTAAGTGCCCTCCTCATCTCTCCTAAGCTGAGCCTGATAGCCTGGGGAAACAAAGGGGACTCAGGATATGTGAGCACGCTACCTAACTAACGTTGGGTCCCTAGCATAAACTGAGGTCCTGAGTCGGGGGGGCCTACATTGCTCAAAAATATAGAGAGCAGTTTATGATACTAGCTTATGCCAGTAAGGCTGCCAGATATGATGATAGGACAGGTTGGTCATCGGAGGGTGGTCAAAATGAGGACAGCCGGGAGCCTCTGACCCCAGCTGTGCTCAGGGGCCTCAGGGCACTATGGCCTAGTCTTTGCAAAAACAAATATGAGGCTTCTCTTTTCCATGCAGCATCTTTGGTTGCCATTTTTGGAGCTCTGCAAATCAGCGAGCTTGTGTCAGCCTTGCATCAGGATACATCTGGCTGCGCCCTTTGTTACCATGATGATACCATGCTGGATGACAGCGTGATGCTCAACATTAGGTGGTCAAAAACTGATCAACTGGGGAGGGGCTCGGTTATTGACCTGGGACTTCATTCCTAAGTGTAGTTGTGCCCGGTGTTGGCTTTATGCCAATATTTGAGCAGGGAGGGAGAGTTTTATTCCAGCACAGGGATGGCTCCCCCACACCAAATTTCAATTTGGGGCATTGACTCAGAAAGCTCTTGTGCAGCTGGGCTTGGAGGATTTCCATTTTGGTACCCACTCCTTCAAGATAGGGGCTGCATCTACCACGGTGGCCATGGGGTACTCTGATGCAAAGAGTCAGAACATAGGTTATGGGTGATCACGTTGTTTCAGAGGTTATGTGCGTAAATGCAAGTTTTAAGTTTGAGTAAACTTACTAATGTAGTTCTTTTTCAGGTTCTGAAGACTGCCGGGTGAGACGAAGAATAACCACCTGTGGCCACAGCATGTTTTTGGGGGCTGCTCACCAGGCCAGGAGGACATCTGTCAGTTCTCAGTTGGGCCTTTGTGAGTGGGCGTTGGTTGAATGGTTGGGCAGGAGAGGCATGTGATGCCCCGGTCTCCTGCCATTGTTGTTTGATGAATGGTGGGGCCGCCTCTGCATGAACTGGTTGTGCACCTAAATGGTAATGACCTAGGTCTGATGAAGGGCAACGCCTTTGTCATCCAGACCAAAGCAGGCCTTGCAATTATAAGAGCAAGGTGGCCTGGCGTGCAGATAGTCTGGTCAGCTACAACAGGTATGGCATAGACGTGGGCACCCTCGGTGCCTTGACTGTGCACTATGTAAAGCCAACCGTTGGATGAAGAAAGCTATGGAGGGTGGTTTGGGTCAATTTTTGCCACACCCCGGCATACAGGTTGTGTTGCAAGACCTGTATAGGGATGATGGTATTCATTTATCAAACAAGGGTAATTATTTGTTTTTAGAGGACTTGTGGCAAGGGATTAGGGCAGTTTTGGACTGCTAGGTGGCTGCTTCGGCCAAAGCAGAGCCTTGACCTTGCAAGTGGCAGGGTAGTGCCGGTAAGAAAGCAGAACTGGTGAGCACCTTAAACCATTTCCTGTTTGGGAACAAGAGGGGTTATCAGGAACGGCCTTTGGGTTTTATGGTCCAGGGCTGGGAATTATAATCACCTCTGGGAACCTCTAAGGTACACTCCTCACTGCAAGTTGTACAACTTTGTGCGTAGGCAGTCCTGGGTGGCAACCAGTGGCTGGGCTATCAGTCGCAAGCCAGATTGGTGGCTCAAGACCGGGGCTGGTGGCTCACACCTATGTTGGGCAAGGAGGTTGGTCGGATTGACAACTACCTTGCCTGTTCCGCACCCACTTAGTTTTTCCGTTGCTGCTTCATTAAAATTTTGCTAAATAGTTAATAAAATGCCCCTTGTTTGTTTCCAAACTGTTCTCTGTCTCTGAAACATACTGGGTTCGAGACGCGAGTAGTGATCAGCTCATGCTTTATTAAGTGAATCTGCTCAAACTAAAAACACCCCAGCAGGGCAGAAGCCTTGCTTATATGCTTGCCAAATAAACCCACACACACACTCCCCGTGATTGGTTATTTATACCAAAATGAAGAAGATCTGTCCTTGGAAGGGCCCTGCAAAGTCCAGGTGTAACCAGGACCATGGTTTGTGAGTGGATTTCCACTGTTGCACAAGGGCCCCGGGCGCTGCCGGATGGGTTTCTTGACAAGCCTGGCAGTGCTTTACACAGTCCTCGATGTTGCTTTCCAGGCCGGGCCACCATACATAACTGTGGGCCAGTGCTTTCATTTGCACGATCCTAATAAGGCTCGTGCGACTGCCTCTCACTACCAGCAAGTCCAAAAGTCCATCAAAGTGTAGGTACTGCACTCAGAACTTGCCCTCCCCCAGGATGGACACTTCATTTTTAGAAAAGTCCTGTAGGGTGAAGCCAACTGGCTGCAGGAGAGGACCCCCTTTGGGACAAAGTCTCTTGAACATGTCCTCGGAAATGATAGAGATGGAGGATTCGGTGTCGAGTTCGATCATGCAGGGGTTCCCCTCTATCAGTACCATTACTGTAATTTTATTTTGGGTGTCCTGGGGCAAGTGCAGTACCTCTTGCTGCTGGACAGAGGTGGGGTGTAGCTCTGTGGAGTGCATCAAGGTTGGGGTCGCCGATTGTCACCTCCGGTTCTCCTTGGTGCGACAGGCTTGTGCGATGTGGCCGACCTTCCCGCAGTTTCTGCATGTGGCGTCCCGGAAACAACAGGACCTCCTTTCATGTGGCTCTCTGCAGCTGGTGCACGTGGCTGTGGTGGTGGTGAAGCTGGCACGAAGTGGTGCGGATGGGTGTTGTTGTGCAGCTGGTGGGTGGTGCTGTTCGGGTTGCTGGAGCTGTAGAACTTCATCATCGTCATCCTCCAAGGGGTCCATGAGGTGGGTGGCCATGGTCAGTTTAGTCAAAGTTGGCAGCTGCCTCATGTGCTGAATCTCTGTGGTGAACTGCTTGGCTTCTTCTATGGCAAGGGCCATTTCCATGGACTCCTTGAAGTTCGGGTTACCTTTGGCGAGGATTTTTCGCTGGAACCTCTCGTCCCGTAGTCCGCAGACCAGCCAGTCCCGGAGGGCTTTCTCAAGGTTGGCAGAGTTGCAATGCCGGGCTATCTGCCATAGTGCGGTGACAAAGTCTGTGATGGATTTGTTGGTGGCCTGGTACCTCATGTAGAATGCATGGCGGGCGGTGATGACAGACGGCTTAGACGAGAAATGAGCCTTAAGCCAGTCGATGATCATTTGGTAGTCCGTGTCTTTGAGTGCTGCGGGGGAAATGAGCGAGCGGGCAATCTCATACGTTGTGCGACCACATACTTGGAAGAAGGCAGCTCACTTCTTCCCCACTGCATTGATCCTGGAGGACTTGAGAAAGAACTCAAACCAGCTGATGTAGGATTCCCAGTCCTCGGCAGCAGCATCGAATGCATTGAAGTGTCCTGGAGCGGCAGCCATGGTCCCAGTAGCAATGCATTGTGCTAAGCACTGGAGCTCATTGTGCGGTGTGGTGCTGGAGAGTGATGGGCTGGCTCAACAGGATCCCATACTCATCGCCAATGAAATATATTGGGTTTGAGACACGAGTAGTGATTGGTTATTTACATTACAACCTTAAAACCATAGGTCACTTCTAGGATCCTAGTTGTCCATTGTTTAGGTAACTCAAGCTAGTCAGTATCCCGGTGCTATCCTGGTTCAGTACATAACAGTCTTGTTATTCTGATTGGGGTGGCAAATGTCAGTCTTCTCTAGTAATCACTGGAAATGTTATGGTAAAATCATAGAGTCTCTGGCAATGCCTAGAGAACACAGACATCACTTCCAGTTGACAGCTGCAAGTGATCTCATGCCATAGGCCTGACAGCCATGTTTTATTTCATTTTCCCCCTGCTGCAACTCTGAGTTCTAGCTGAAAAGTCCCACAAACCCACTGGGAACTTGCAACTCAAGTTCTAGACTCAGCCATCAAATTGATATCCAACAAAGGGACCTTTGACTGTCGAAAGCTTATACTCCAAAGACCTCATTGGTCTTTAAGTACCAGGCTCCAATCCAGCCGTCCAATTGGAATAAATCACTTTGGACCACCCCCACCCCCCAGATTCCATTTTGGTTTTTGCTGGTCAGCTTCAGACAGGCCCAAGTTTAGAATCCGGCAGCCTAAGTCCAGCCCCCTGAGTCAGTCTGCCCCATGGAGAAGCACAGAGTTACACAAACACGTTTGTCTGAGGTGAAAATACAGCCCTGCGCTATTCTGATGTGATTATCTCTCTCCTCTGAAATTAGCAAAATCACAGTAATTCTTACTGACCCCCCTGCGTTTTCTATCTACCAAGCTTGAAATAATCAACATCCAGATCAGAACAAAATATGTTTGTCTTAAGCATGCCATGTATACTGGGTAAGGAGCATATTGACATATGTTTCCTCCCTACCATCTAAAAGTCCACACAGTTGACTATGATCCAGGTTCTATGCAGTAATTTCTTTGCTGATCTAGGAGGGAAGATTTCATGAAAATGGTACTGATGTGGGTGCTGTTCTCCTCTTGCCTCTTGCCTCAGGCTGTGCACAAGACACTGGGGACCAAGTGCATCTTGACCAGACCCTTTGAGCTCCAAGAAGCATATTACAGGCCAGGAGACCACCTTGTTGGTGGGATTTTGCCCCACCTCAAAACCACAGTTATGCGGGGGTCCTTTGAAACCCCACCCAGGAACATCCATCCTGCATGGTAAGTTTTGCCAGGAGGCCCTGGGTTGGAATACTTTCAGTCTGGCCAGCAAATTCCACTGGAACTTCTAGAAACAGGCACCCTTGTTAAGCAGCAGAAGGGCAAAAGGAAATACTTCTTTACACAGAGAGTGATTAACATGTGGAATTTACTGCCAGAGGATACAGTGATGGCCACAGACATAGACGGTTTTAAAAGGGGAATAGAGAGATTCACAGAGGATAGATCTTTTAGAGGCTACTAGCCATGGTGACTGAGGGGAACCTTCACATTCAGAGGCAGTCAACCTCTGAACCTCAGTGCCAGGAGGCAACATCAGAGGAAGGCCTCAGTCTCTGTGCCCTGTAGTTGGCCCTCCAGAGGACCTGGTTGGCCACTCTGTGAGACAGGATGCTGGACTAGATGAACCACTGGCCTGATCCAGCAGGGCTCTTCTTATGTTCCTACATGAATCTAGTGTTAGACATTGTCAGGTCCCATGTAGATAGACCTGAGCAATAGTCTGGGTTCTGTGTTGAGAATCTGGAAAGGACTAGGACATGTGAATGAGACGAACATGATATTGACTGAATTTCAGTCATTTATTATCTAATTCATGTGTATTGATTCTGGAGGAAGCACCAAAAGAACAGCAAAGCCTGTTAAACTTTTTGATCTAGTCACCCAGAGTGAAGTTGTACAATATGTGGAGATAAATGGAGTCATAAAAGGATTGAAACCCCAAATATTAAAGTATTTAATGAAGCAGCTAAATTGACCTGGATTGTTAAATGGGTTGCACGTAAAGCTGATTTTGCTGACATTCGTACTGAATAATCCTTGTTTAGAATGCCCTTTTTTTTGTGGATTAAGAAATCTGATACAGAGTTTATCACTGGGACAATTTAGTTATTAACTCTCCACTGCAAACATTGCAGCTATAAAAAGAATGTTCTATTCACTGCTAAGCCAAGATAGCTAAATAGACCTTCCATGGTCAGAGACGGTCTACCCCTGAATGACAGATGCTGGGGAGGGCGATGGCAGGAAAGGGATATCATCTTTACATCTTCCATGTGGATGCTGTAGTAGACGGACTCTTGACCCGAGCCAGTTAGAGTCTTTTAAATGTCGCAGTGCTCTGTGTGAAGGGGCAGGGCATTTAAATGCAAATATCTGATGAACGGACTCAAAACTAGTCTGCAGGGTTTTCTTTCTAAGTAATGGTGAGTGAAGCCAGAAGGTCTTTCATGACACTCCTTGTTTTACCACTGGCCCATATCATGTACCTCTTATTGCAGCCGGGTGCCCAAAAACTACCAGCACATCCTGGCCCTCGTGTTTGCCATCAGGGAGATCAACAAGGATCCGGCACTCCTCCCGAACGTCACGCTGGGCTTCCGCATCTTTGAGGACACTTACTTTGCAAGAATGACCTACCAGGCAGGCCTGTCGTTTCTGTCCACGGGGGATCAAGTGGTCCCCAACTACAGATGCAGCAGACAGGAGAAGGTGCTCTCTGTCATTGGAAGTCTCTACTCCAGAATCTCAATGCAGATGGCCTCCCTCCTGGGCCTCTTCAAGATCCCGCAGGTAAGAGGGCCTTTTTATGGGGATAAAAGGGTGTGTTTGGGGAGTGGCGTGAACACGTAGGGGAGACAATGGGGCAGGCTGAAGTGCACATGAGAGTGGAGAAGCAGGACCTTCAGTAATATATTTGCTGTGATAAGAATTTAGAGTTATAGTCAGCAGTGGTTAGAATGCCAGACAAGGATCTGAGTGACGTGGGTTCCAATCCCCACACTGCCATGTTGCACGCTGGCTGGCTTAGGGCCTGTTCACCTTAGCAGCACCTACCTCACAGAGTAATTGCTGTGAGGATGACCCAGAAATGGAAAGAACCGTGCAAGCTGGCCTGAGCACTTTGGATGAATGGGAGGATAAAACTGTGCTTGATCGATTGACTGAGAAATGAGGTTTTCATGAAGTGGAAGGAAGCAGCAGGGCTGAGACTGAAGCATTGGAGCCGGATGCTGGAATTCCTGGCTCCTGGCCTGACTGCATTTTATTGACTTGTTCCAAAGAACCACCAAACTAACCCACCACCACCACCTCCCCCGAAACAGCCATAGAGAACCTGGATTGTGCAAAATTTTTAATTAAATGAACTACTCATACAAGTGCCTATGTAAATGCCACCAACATTGCTGGTGGAAAGTGCCATCAAGTCACAGCTGACCTCTGGTGAACCCATAGGGTTTTCAAGGCAAGAGACATTCAGAGGTGCTTTGCTCTTGCCCGCCTCTGGTGCTGCGACCCTGGAGTTCTGTGGAGGTCTCCCCTCCAAGTACTAGCCAAGGCCGACTCTGCTTACTGCCAAGAACTGAGGAGATCGAGCTCGCCTGGGCTATCCAGGTCAGGGCCCACCAACATTACGGGTCAGTAAAATTGTTTCATAAGAATGGTCTTTGCATCTCTACAGGCAAGTTTACATGTACCAGATTGGTGTAGTGGTTAAGTGCACTGACTCTAATCTGGGAGAACCTGGTTTGATTTCCCACTCCTCCACTTGCACCTGGCTGGATGGCCTTAGGCAAGCCATAGTTCTGGCTCAGCTGTTCTTGAAAAAAGAGCAGTTTCTGTCAGAGCTCTCTCAGCCCCACCTACCTCACAAAGGTGTCTGTTGTGGGGAGGGGAAGGGAAAGGAGTTTGGAAGGTGCTCTGAGACTCCCTTGGGTAGTGAAGAGCGGGGTATGAAACCAATCTCCTCCTCCTCCTCCTCCTCCTCCTCCTCCTCCACCTCCTCTTCTTCTTCTTCTTCTTCTTCTTCTTCTTCTTCTTCTTCTTCTTCTTCTTCTTCTTCTTCTTCTTCTTCTTCTTCTTCTTCTTCTTCTGTTGAACCAAATTTGAGTCCAGTGGCACCTTTAAGACCAACAAAGTATAATTCTGGGTATAAGCTTTCATGTGCACGCATATTCTTGGAATGCAGAAGGTCCCAGGTTCAATCCCCAGCATATCCAGTTATAAGGACAAGACAGTAGGTGATGTGAAAGTCCTCTGCCTGAGGCGCTGGACAGCCGCTACCAGTCTGAGTAGACAATACTGACTTTGATGGACCAGGAGTTGGATTCAGTATAAGGCAGCTTCAGACCAACACTTGAATGTACTTCTGTTGTTCTTCAATATGTTCTCTCTTCTGTTCTCTCTTCGGGGCAGTCACTGTGGCCTCCTGTATTGGACTACCCTGTGATGTGACAGCTTCAGTGATAGCTGAGGGGCCTCCCAAACAATATTGTGCAGTGAATTCCAGTGCCCATAAAACCCCATCTTATCATGTCCTCCACAGGTCTCTCTGAGACGTGAACGACGATCTTTGATAAAGCTTAGGCTGTATTCCCTGCCACAAGATAATAGTTCCCAGGTTAGAAAGAGACCCCTTCAAACTCAGAACCAGAAGAGTGGGGGCCATTATTGGAGTATGTTATTGCCTGGACGGGTTCCAGTTGAACCTAACCAGTTTACCAAAGTTCCTTCAAGCCACTGGCATTGTTCTCTGAGCAATGAGAAGTTTCTATGGGAACATTTGCCTGGATGAGTTCCCTCGGAAGAGACCTCCAGGGGGGTCTTAATTATGAGGAAGAGGATTGCAAAATGCTTATCAAAATGTTTATCAAGGCTGAGAGGCTCTGATAATTCTACGACCTGCTCAGCCAAACAATGATTTCTGTCAGGAAAGGAAGCAAATGCACTGTTTAGATGCTGGTGAGCTAAATACAAAGGAGAAGAACTAGCAGGTTCTGGGCAAGATTTAGGAAGTGTTAGACATGTGCTCGTAAGAACATCCGGTCCAACACACTGTGTCACACAGTGGGCAAAACCCATGTGGCATCAGGAGGTCCACTTGTGGGGCAAGAACTATAGGCACCCATTCACTGTTGCTCCCCGCCCCAAGCACCAAAAATATAGAGCATCACTGCCCTAGAGATGGCGTTCCATACCTTATCGCTAATAGCCACTGATGGACCTCTGCTCCATATATTTATCCAATCCCCTCTTGATGCTGTCTATGCGTGTAGTTGCCACCACTTCTTGCGACAGTGAATTCCATGTGTTAATTACTCATACATGCATGTACATGCACACATGCACACACACAGTGTGTCCCAGAGCGGTTTCTTCATTTCTCTTTCTCAGAAGCACTTCATGGCCCAGTTGGTTGCATTACTGAACCCAATGCCTTCTTTGCCTCAACCGTTTCAGCCCAGTCCGACCAGTAGATTGAGACAAGAAGATCTAGCAACAGAAATTATTTCTTGAGAAAGAAGAGGAAAATCCAGTCAACAGGACATGGGATTATCTCCACAGTCCTGATTTTTGTGAAGCACTGAAAATAACTGCACAACATTTACAAATCTGTTTTTCAACTAAAAGTCTTCCTTCTTTCTACCAGCTTGGTTATGGCTCCTTCAGTCCTGTTCTGAAAGAGAGGAGCATATTTCCTTCCTTCTACCGCATTGACCCCAGTGAAGTCCCACAATATTTGGGGATAATCCGCTTACTTCTTCATTTCCACTGGAACTGGATTGGGATTGTTGCTCCGGATGATGACGGCGGAGAAAACTTCATCCAAGCCCTAAGACCAATGCTTGACCAGAACAACATCTGTGTCGAGTTCACTAAACGGACCTTGTCTGAAATCTCAGTGTACTATACAAGTCCATCTAATGATGTGAATCTAGCTATAGCTCTCTCGGAGGCTAAGGCCAAAGTTGTTGTTGTCTCCGGCGACTCAAATGCCATACGAAATTTAATCCTACCCCTTATGCTATACAAAGCTAAGACTAAGACATCTCTTGAAAAGGTGTGGATTGTGACAAGCCAGTGGGAATTTGCTGCCGTGGGCATCTTCTTTAACTGGAAGGCTGTGGAGGCCTTCCATGGTGCCCTGTCCTTCAGAGGCCACGCAAGTGATGTGCCAGGATTCCACAGTTTTCTCCGGACTTTAGATCCACGCCAGCCTCAAGGTGATGTTTTTCTTAAAGAGTGGTGGAAACTTGTATTCATATGTTTATTTAAAAAACCAAATTATTTTCCTGGAGGCCTTAAGAACTGTACAGAGAAGGAGGAGATCAAGAACCTCCCACCCTCTGTATTTGAAATGAGCATGACTGGAAACAGCTATAATGTTTACAATGCTGTTTATTCTGTGGCACATGCGCTACATGCCATGTACACATTTGGACCAAGACGTGCAATGATGGGGAATGGCGAGAGGCTTCAGGGTGTCCAGCCATGGCAGGTAACATCCTCCCTCTGCTACGTGGCTCTTGCGTCAAGGAATGGACAGCCCAGAACATGTCAGCCCAGCACTGACCCATCCCGAATAAACTAAGCAATCTGATGTGGTGCCCTTCATGGCTGGCAATTTCTTTGGCCATAGAGAAGGAGGAACAGCTGCCACAGGGTTGTTTTCCTTCTGAGGAAAAAGTAGCAGAAGTTCCTGTTATAACTACTTCTTTGTGCAATGCCAGAGACAACTCAGGGTCCTCCTTCTCCTAAGCAAGGCAAGCTCCCCCATCTCTTAAGCTGCTCTTTCTGGACCTTGTATAGTTCCCAGGACCCTCCTGGCAACTGGTGGTGGATAGGGGGGACTTACCAGGACAAAGAAGGCCCAGGTCACATGGCTGGTATCACACAGGTAATGATGTCATCAAGTTCTGATGTTGCTGCAATGTTCTGCTGTTTGGGCAAAAATACTACAGCTTCTACCATAGAGTTTTTGCCCAAATACCACAGCGTCACCCAGCCATCGGTGGCATGATGAGATCACTTCCTCTGTGATGCCGGTAAGGTAGCCTGGACCTTCCTCTTTCTCCTGGTAAGTCCCCCCCCACTGGCCAGCTGATTGGCAGCAGGGGCAGGGCCTGGCAGCAGGGGACCCCCACCTCCACCAAGGGGGCTGGAAGCTCTAGGGCCTTGGTATCAGTTGGAAGGGAGTTTACAGCTTCCATTTCCCCCTCTTGCTCTTCCACAATTCCTCTCGCCGAGTTTGCTATCTATCGCTGAGTCTGAATGGCCCTCTAACTTTCTGGGCCTCTTCTATGGGAATTTATTTCATTCATTTATGGTCCACCTCTTTTTCCCGAATCTCAAAGGAGACTACACAAGTAAAAAGAATGCAGTTAGAACAGTATGCTCCACATCAATCAGCAATGCAATAAAACCAGATTACACATTTAGAAATACATTGTTTTCATGGGCTGACTTGATTGCTATGTCAGCGATGGCCATCCATCCATGGATTCATACTTAGATGAAGCGCTATCAGCATTGGGTTGGCTTCTCATCCCTTAGACTAGGGGTGTCAGACATAAGGCCCGGGGGGTGGAACTGGCCCATTCAGGGCTACTATGCGGCTAATGAGCAAATGGTGCCAAGGACGGAACAGGAAGCTGCTCAGGGGTGGGTGGGTGGGCAGAGCCACTCCAATTGTGACTTCAGCATGGCAGAACAACCACATCTGCAGCAATCAAGCAGAACCCTTTCACTTCGGGGACAGCCTCACTGATAAGTTGGGAGTCACTGCAGTTGCATTCATACCTCCCCACTCAGCCTGCAGATCTGGGGATGCTGTCCCAGATGGCCTCAGGGATCAGCGTTTGCATGGGGGGGGGTGTAGATGATCCTCTGTTGGGGTATGGGAGGGTCTGCCCAGTGCTGCACTGCTGGGAGTCCTGTCCACCCATGTGGGTTTTCCTCTGCACCCCCCTCCCAGCTGATGGGGCCTTGCAGTGAGGGCACACCAACTGAGAACTTCTGCACTGTCTATAATTCAGTTGCTTCCAGCCTCCATCCAAGCATATGGAGAGTGTGTCATGAGAAGTAGCTACCATGAGAGATGCCCCCAACAAAGAGACATAAAGAAGTCACCTGGTCATTAGTGCCCACTGAGAATTCACCCTTGGCTTTTCCATTAAGGAAACAACTACAGAAACCATAATCTCCTCTTGTGGTAGTCCAGACAGAATGTCCGTAGGACCGTTCCCCTAATGGTTGGGGTTGGTGGGCCCCTGAGAAGGGGCAGGTGGCAGGACCCAGGGTTTCGTCTGGGGCCCACTACTGTCAACCCATCACCCCTGACCACTCTCTTGCTAGCAATACATTCTCCCAGTTACACAAATGGCCATTGCCAGGGAAAGGGCTGCAGGTTGTCAGGGAGCTGTGAGCAAAAGCAATGGAAGGGTTGGCAACGGGGTAGGGGCAAGACATACATGTAGGCAACTGGCATGCAGATGAAAGGAAGGGTATAAGCAGGGGTCCTGATGGTGGAGGGAAAGGGGACCTTGGAAAGTCTATGCCTATGGCCCACCAAAACCTGCAACCAGCTCCACCAGCAGTCATAACTGTTACATCATTTTCTTAGGATCTCTTTTATTTCAGATCCTTGCCTCTTTGAGGAGCACTCAGTTCAACAACAGTGCTGGCGAGGAAGTGTTTTTCAGTCAAAATGACAAGAGATCAGCTGGCTATGATATCCTGAACGTGGCTTTCTTCCCAAATGGATCTTCAGCTCAAGTGAAAGTTGGAAGGATGGATCCGAGGGCCCCCCCAGGCAAAGATTTCACCATTAACGCAGATACAATTGTTTGGGCTACCCAGGTGGGGAAGAAGTTGAAAGTCTTGGGTAATGGTAGAGAAATTTGCTGATAGAACTTTTGGGAGTATAAGATTGCATTTATAGAACAGACTAAAGGCCAGCTTCGTTCAGATGTTGGACTCCAGAATGGTATACTTTTTCCTTTGGAAGTTCTGTTTTACTGGTCGTAGTAAGACTTGCACATTTCCTAGAAAGATCTGATCCTGCTTAACCTGGTGATTCATTTCACCATGCCAAAGAAAAACCCTTTCAGTAGTTCTTTAATGCAAGAAAGTCATTCCAGGCTGAGTCGAGAGAACAGTCGGGAAAACTGCAGTGTTGCAATGTGATTGCCTTTGCATTCAAGCAGCAATGAGAGCTCTAGGAATGGGCAGGAGCTAAATTTCGCCAGTTCGTGGTTCACAAAGTCAAGTTCATGGCAGGTCACCTAGCATGAGCTTTCCACAAACTTTCAAGCTGTTCATGGAACTTTGTGTGGTTTATGAGCAGAGACATTTACAACAACTTAAACAGCATCCAGGGGTGGTCCCCTGTGACTTTGATGTCTCTTGCACAGGATCCGTTCTATACACTCCTGAGCCTGCACTTGTTAAAATGACTGTTACGGGCATTTTGACAGGTGCAGGTGCAGGAGTGTATAGAATGGATCCCTTGCAAACTAGAGACATCAAATTTGGGCATCCAGGGGCAGTCCACTATGAGTTTGGTGTCCCTAGCTTGCACAGGATCCATTCTATACAATCCCGAACCTCCCAAATCATTTTGACAGGTGCAGGTTCAGGAGTGTATAGAACAGATTCTGGGCCCATCCCTAAAGAGCTCCATGGAGAATCATCAGGGTGTGGAAAGAACACCACTCATTTGGAAAATCTCACCACTTCTTCTTTCTTCCATTTAGGAAATGCCCTCCTCCAGGTGTGTGGAGAGCTGCTTGCCAGGGTACAGCAGAAAAGTTATAGAACAAGAGCCACCTTGTTGTTATGAATGTGAACTTTGTCCAGAAGGGATGATTTCCAACCATTCAGGTAGTTCAACAAATCTTGAAACCCCAACTTAAAGGGTTGAAGTTGCTGGACACTGAGTGGCTCGCAAAGGCTGTAAACACCGCTTACGTTTAGACTCTGGAGTTATGGACTTATGCTTGCATTTTTAGATTATAATGTATACCTCAGGTAAGGAGCTACAGCTTTCTTGTGGGGCCCATGGGATGTTAAGCCCTGACACTACCAGTGATAACCACCCACAGTCTGTATAATGAAAAAACTGATTCTCTAATACACACTTTGAATTTCTCTCTTTTTCACTAAGTTCAGTTTTGGGATAGTATCTGGATAATTCTTTCTCTTCTAGAACTTCTTTCTGTTATGTTTAGATTTAAACCGTCAAGGTATGAATTTCAAAATATTGTTTGTCTTTATCATGCATTTCTTATGTAGAATTCTTCTCAGCTAAGTTGCAGAAGTAGAAACAGAGGAAAATCAAATGGGAATTTGCACCTTTAAATTGACACTAGTCATTCTGAAAGATTTTGAAAAGGGGCCACCTACACAGATGTCCTTTTTGGGCCCTATTTGGAGTGTAACTTCATGTGACTTCCCTCGTCCTCAAGTTAAAATGTCAGAATTGTTCATAAGTTAGCAGCAAACCAGATTCTATTCTATGTTGCATATCTAGTATTTATAAATATATAACAATATTATTGTGCAACAGGCTATATTTCACAGATATTATGCAGCAGGAAACTCAATCTTACCACTAGCTGGACACTGTTATTATTCCATCTCCTTGGTAAACACTCAACTGAATACTACACAAACGTTATTTCTGTTGTGCTGGAATTAAGTAATTAGTGATTGTTTGTTCCAGATGCTGATCATTGTGTCCCATGTCCAGAAGATCAATATCCAAACAAGAACAAAGATCAATGTATCTCCAAGAACATAAGCTTCCTTTCCTATCAAGAAATTTTGGGGATTGTTTTGGCTTCACTTGCTCTTTTTCTGTCTCTGATCACAGCCCTAGTCCTGGCAACTGTCATTAAATATCGAGACACACCCATTGTCAAAGCCAACAACAGAGAACTCACCTATGTCCTCCTCATCTCCCTTCTGCTCTCCTTCCTCTCCTCCTTCCTATTCATTGGTCGACCTACAAAGTTCACCTGCCTTCTAAGACAAATTGCTTTTACTATAATCTTCTCTGTTGCCATTTCGTCCATCTTGGCAAAAACTATCATGGTGGTTGTGGCCTTCATGGCCACTAAGCCAGGAAACATGGCAAGAGAACTGTTGGGGAGACAAGGGGTAAATGTCATTGTCCTGGTCTGTCCCCTCCTCCAGGTTATTACCTCTGCACTTTGGCTAGGAACCTCTCCCCCATTCCCCAACTCGGACTTCCACTCCTTGGCCAAAGAGATCATAGTGGAATGTAACGAGGGGTCAGTCATCATGTTTTACACAGTCCTGGGATACATGGGATTTCTGGCCCTAGTCAGCTTCATGGTGGCTTTCCTAGCGAGGAAACTACCCGACAGCTTTAATGAAGCCAAGTTTATCACTTTCAGCATGCTGGTCTTCTGCAGCGTGTGGGTCTCCTTCGTGCCCACCTACCTGAGCACTAAAGGGAAGTCCATGGTGGCCGTGGAGGTCTTCTCCATCTTGGCCTCTGGCACCGGTCTCCTGGGCTGCATCTTTGTTCCCAAATGCTACATTATTTTTCTGAGGCCTGATCTCAATAGCAGAGATCAGCTCCTAAGGAACAAGAAATACAGGAACCTAAATTTTTGAATATTCTCTGCTTTTTCAAGTTTCAGTTCATTATAGCTCCTCATGCAGGTGGTTAACATTACTGAAGAATTAACATTTAAACATTTAGCTTTCCACATCCACGTCAATATGTTCCATTACATGTTGTAACAATTTTTGGTGAACCAGGACTGTTAAGACCATATCATCTTTTCGTTTCGAACTCTACATAACCTGTTTTTATTCCCTTATTTCAATCATCTATATATCTAATATCCAAGGCGCCTCCTGTGTGCAGATATCTAAATCTGCACATCGGGGGCACCTAGGGGGCAAAGAGATTTTCCTGTACATTTGGGGCAATCCCCAGATGTGCAGAAAAATCTGAAATCTATTTAAAAAACTATAGTTGGGATACTTAAATCCCCCCAAAATTAAAAGAGCATTGCTTGCGCATGTGCAGAGAACGCTCTTAGAACTGCCTCACTGCCACTGCCACCACTGGGGGGGGCGGGAGAAGTCTTGGTAGGCTAGCAGCTGTGAGCTGCTTAGCCCTCGCCACTGCCACTGGGGGGGTAAGCTTGGCAGGCTGGCCAGGTCTCGCCACTGCCACTAAGGGAGGGGGAGGGGGAGGCTTGCGAGCCAAGCTCAGGCCTCGCCATTGTTGGGGTTAGGGAGGTTTGGTGGGCCTGGTGGCTCAGAGCCACATGGGCCTCACCACAGTTGCCAGGGGAACGGGGGAAGTTTGGTGCGCCTGGCGGCTCGGAGCCACACAGGCCTCACCGCCATTGCCAGGGGGGCAGGGAGGTTTGGTGGACCTGGTGGTTCAGAGCCTCATGGGCCTTGCCATTGTGGCCAGGATGGGGCAGGGGAGAAGGGGAGAAGGCTCACCTGCGGCAGCTTCCTCCTCTGCATGGCGCTCCCCCCCCCCGCAAGTGTTGCAGGTCGCCACTTCTTGTCTTGTCTAATCTTTATAGCTAAAATTGCTATTGGTAATATAAATAATAAAGGAGATAGGAGACAATCCTGACATGTGCCTTTTTTTAATTGCTTCTGTTAATTTCCCACTAATTAAAATCTTTGCTTGTTGATTCAAGTATATACCACACATCCATTTCCAGAATTCAGGATCACAATCCATGTTTTGTAATACATTCAATAAAAAAAGCCATATTAAATGGTTGAACACTTTCTCTGTATCCAGAAATAGAAACACTGCTTTCTTTCTCTTCTTATTCACAAGTTCAATATAGCTTTTTAATTTCTATCAACACATGCAAGTGCTGGTAGAAGACTTGACGCTATATAAGGTTTAGTAAAGAGATTTTCTTACTTATAAATTGTAGCTCTACATAGTCTGCTTTTATTCCTTTAATGCCAATCGGATTGAGCAAGGCAATAGTTTTAAATATCTTGGTGTAGATTTACAGGCTTTGGGCTCTAGGGCTAATCATAGCAAGTATGTCACTGATCAGCGAGAAAGGTTGGCAAATGTTCCATACCGATTTCGCACAAGGAGCTGCGCTGCCGTCGCGCCTCCCTTTGACCCGGTTCCATTGGTCAATTTCCCACTCGAAGCCCTGCAGCCACATTTTGATCCACATTTTGATCTTGCCCGATTTCCCCCGCGGTTTCATGATCCTTGTTTCTTGAGAAGTTTCCAATTTGCCCCAGAGAGAAGCAGAAATGCACGCCCCTTTTTCCACGCCCAGTCGCCCGCCTTCCATCTATCTGCCCCTCCCCATGGTAGCTCAAGTTTTCCATGATGTTTTTTTTTTAATCCTTTGTTACGTTATAATGAAATGATGAAGCAGTGAAATACAGAGCCGCCATCATCGCTTTAAGCATATTATCCACATTTGTTGCAGTGGTCATTTCAACAGTATACATTTTAGTTTCCGGAAAAAGCATCCTACGTGCGTCAGTACTCTGGAATGGGAGTAGCATGTGGGATTGGAGGGGAGAGCAGGGTTGTTTCAAGATGGCTAGCGCTTCTCTTTTTTGGGTCGTAGACTTCACTATTTTGTAATGCGTGGAAAAATAAAAAGGGCTGCCACCTGCCATGTTTACTTATTCTTTTTTTTAAAACCCTGCTCACATTACAACGTCACAACAAAACTTTGTCATGACTAGTTTCCAACACTTTTCCAGTATCCATTTGCTGGGCCATCGGTTATATTATTTCAGAGCATTTAAAAGTTATTTCTAAGGCGCCGTGGCAGTACACACTGCATCCACCATTTTCTGCCTGGAAGCCAGCTGGCAATGCGCCTAGCATTTTGATACCAGATCAGAGAATCCACCAGTCACCAATCACAGTCTAGCAGCCACCATGTATACCTCATTCAACCAAGTCATGCGGGTGGTGCACAGCTGTGGCCAGAGTGTGGAATTGGCAAAATGTAACATTGTTGGCCTTCCGCCTGCTGCCTGTTTTCGTGGTGGACTTTGAACTGCTGGGTTTCGCCTTTAAGGGACAATTTTATATAGATAGGGCCCTTCCCATGAGTTGCTCCATGTCCTGTGCTGCCTTTGAAAGGTTCCGTTCCTTTTTGGAATGGGCCTTGCGTTTCAGAACAAGTCTATGCAGTACAGCACATTATTGCGATGATTTTCTGTTCGTGGGCCATAAGGGTACTGGACAGTGCAAATTTTTAATGTCCAGCTTCATTGATCTGGCGGGGGAGCTTGGTGTTCCCCTTGCACATGAAAAAACAGAAGGCCCAGCTCCTCTTTTGATCTTTTTGGGGGTCGAGATTGATACCATGAGGCAGTTGTCTAGGCTGCCAGCTGATAAATTGCAGGGTTTACAGGTGCTAATTGATAAAGCCTGGGTGCTGAGAAAGATAACATTGTTGGAGTTGCAGCAACTTGTGGGCCATCTCAACTTTGCATGCAAAGTTGTGGCTCTGGGCCAGGCGTTTGTTAGATTAACAAACCTAGATTGAATATGTCAGCACTTATAGTCTCTATCTTGTGTATATTATAATGTATAGTATAATGTGGATAAATTGTGATTTTAATGTATTGTATATTGTTTTAGATGTATTGTTTTATTGCTTTTATTGTTGTAAGCCACCCTGAGCCACTTCGGTGGGAGGGCGGGGTAAAAATCAAATAAATAAATAAATAAATAAATAAATAAATAAGATTACTTTGTGATGCCATGAGGGGCCTGCGCCTCCCACATCACAGAATCAGGGTTACCAGGGGGCTCCGGGAGGACCTTGTAGTGTGGAAGGAATTTTTGGGGTCCTCCAATGGGGTATCTTTCTGGAGGGAGGACCTTCAGGTCAAAGTTGAGCTTCAGGTTATATCTGATGCCATTTGCTCTTCTGGTTTGGGGGTCTATTTCCACAGCCACTGGTGTGCTGATGACTGGCCCTTGGAGTGGTTCTAGGCAGGGTGGGTTAAAGACCTAACCTACTTGGAATTCTTTTTGATTGCCATAGCAGTGGGAATTTGGACAGCGGATTTTGCTGATCATACAGTCCACTTCTGGTGGGACAATCTGGCCACAGTACATGTCATCAATTCATTAACATCCAAGTCTCCAAGGGTCATGGCATTGGTTCGAATGTTCATGCTCCCCTGTTTAAAAAACAATGTATTGTTTAGGGCCAGGCACATCCCAGGAGTCAGTAATGGGGTTGCTGGTGCTCTCTCTCGAAAACAGATGGGGAGGTTCCGTCAGATGGCCCCAGAAGCCGACCAGTTCCCAGGAAGGATGCCAATGGGCTTTTGGTAGATTGGTGGGTTGAGGCCGAAAGGGTGATTGGCTTTGCCCTTGCCCCATCTACTCAGAGATCCTATAGGAAGGCGGGCCAGCAGTTTGTTGCCTTTAGGCAGGAAGGTGGTCTGCAACAGGTTTGGCCCATCCCAGTGTCCCAATTGATGCATTTTTGGGTGTTTCTGAAAGGTAAGGGCATCTCAGTGTTTTCCATTAGGGGCAAGCTGTTATCTCTAGCTTATGCCAGTAAGGCTGCCAGATACGCTGACAGGACAGGTTGGTCACGGGAGGGTGGTTGGAATGAGGACACCCGGGAGCCTCTGACCCCAGCTGTAGTCAGGGGCCTCAGGGCACTGTGGCCTATTCTTTGTGAAGACGAATATGAGGTTTCCCTTTTCCATGTGGCATCTTTGGTTGCCTTTTTTGGATCTCCGCAAATTAGCGAGCTTCTGTCGGCCTCACGGCAGGATACATCTGGGTGCGACCTTTGTTATTGGAATGTTACCATGCTGGATGACAGCATGACGCTCAACATTAGGTGGTCAAAAACTGATCAACTGATCAGGTGTTGTTCCTGGTGTTGGCTTTATGCCAATATTTGAGCTGGCGAGGAGCGGGAAAGGGAGTTTTATTCCAGCACAGGGATGGCGTAGTGTTGGGGACCCTAAGTGCCTTGACTATGCATGACGTAAAGCCAACCGCCAGATGAAGAAAGCTATGGAGGGTAGTTTGGGTCAATTTTTACCACACTCGGCTTCTGGTTTATGACGACACGCTAGCGGACGCATCTTCCGGACCTCCCAGGGATGTGATCTGTGCACCAGCAGGTGGGGGGCGACGGGTTGCTACCCCCCCTGGAACCTTGGCAAAAGGCTCCTAGCCATGGGGCTTTTGAGGGGCGACCTCTTCACCAGTGCGATGCCGGAAAATTGAGGCGCTCCTCCACCCCGACGGTCCTGCCGCTGAGTGTCTGAATGGATCTAGAGCTGCTGACTGGGACAAGTGTCAGGGATCGAGTGAGTTAAACAGATTCTGAGTGTGGCCGAATGGCCAACAATGAATTGTGAGTTGGGTTAAAGCAAATATGAGAACTTAGAAAAAAAGCTATCCCCCCATGGAGTGACAAAAAGCGAGCGGGGGAGGGGCCCCTCCCAAACGCATGAATGAAAGCACGACATAAAGAGGGGGGAGTGGAAGAATAAGCATTTAAATCTATTTTGAGAGACTTGGATAAGCGTAAGGGCAAATTTCAGAGACTGGCAATTTTTACAAAAGTAAATACATAAAGATGGCGGGGAAGAAAGCAGACAAA